TTTTTGAAAAGATGTAATTTTACATAGACCAATTTTTTTCAAAATACGCAATCCAACGATGCATTAATAACCATTAAACGATATTTCTAAAAAATATGCAATCCTAAGATGAATTAATAACAACAAAACAATAACTATTCAGAAATACAACCTTAGAATGCATTAATAACCATAAAACGGGTTTTCGAAAAGAAACAACCCTAAGAGACATTAAAAACTAAAAATAATTTTTCGAAAAGACACAAACCTAAGAGAAACTAATAACCATAATTTTTTTTTGAGAAGACGAAACCCTAGCATTAATAACCTAGAATGTAAATTATCAAAAAAAAATTCGAGAAGATACATCTTTACATAAACCAATTTTTTTTCCGAAAAAACGCAACCCTAGGATGTTTTAATAACCATAAACTAAATTTCTCAAAAAACACAATACTAGGATGTATTAATAACCACAAAATGGTTTTCACTAAGACGACGCAATCAAATCATGTATTAATAACTATAAAACGGTTTCTTTAGAAAGCCACAGTTCTCAAGGACAATGTTAACCATAAAAAAAATCTAAAAGACGTAACGCTTGGAGATTAATAACAAAAAATCATTTTTTTTTCGAAAACCCAATCCTAAGAAATATTAATAACCGTAAAACAATTTTTTTAAAAAGACGAAACCTAAGAGACAATAATAACCTTAAAACGTTTTTTTGTAAAAAATTGTGTAACCCTAAAAGACACTAATAACCATAAAACATTTTTTCTGGAAAGACACAACTCTAGTGTTAATAACCATAAAACGATTATTTTTTTAAAAAAAACAACCCTAAAATATATTTTCCAGGATTGCTATTATTGATAGACGTTTCTAAAATTATTTTTAAATAAAGAAACAAAATATTGTGAGACTCTAAAATAATTTTTGACGTTTTTTTAATCACATTGAGTTAATTTTAAAGTTAGTAATCATAAATGAAAAAACACAGATATATAGAGATTGAAAAACACAAATCTATATAGCAGTGTTTTTTTAGAAGATGCAACCATAGAGATTAAAAACCATAAAACATTTTTTGCGAAATGGCGCAATCCTAAATAGAATATCTTTAAAAGATGCAACCATAGCATTAAAACCATAAATATATGTCAAACAGTTTTTTTCCGAAAAAATGCAACCCTTGAAAATAACCATAAAATGGTTATACTGAAAATACACAATTTTTGGAAATCGGTTACTTTTGAAAGGAGACAACCACAAAACAGTTATATTGAAAATGCGCAGCCCTTGGAAATAACGATAAAGTGGTTATATTGAAAACCGCAATTTTTGGAAATAACCATAAAAATATTATTTTCGAAAAAACACAACTATAAAGCGGTTATCTACATACTAAATGCATCCTTTGGAAATAATTAGAAAGCATTTATATAAAAAAGACGCAACCCTTGGAAATAACCATAAAATGGTTTTTTTCTAAAGGACACAATATTAAATAACCGTAAAGCGGTTATATAAAAAAAACAACTTTTTAAAAAGAAGTTATATAAAAAAAAGACAACTCTTAGAAATAATTATAAAGCGGTTATATTGAATAAACGTAATCTTTCAAAATAACCAATAAACGATTTTTTCCGAAAAAACACAATTTTTGGAAATAACTATTAAGTGGTTACTTTCAAAATAACACAATCATAAAGCAGTTATCTATATACAATTCTTAAAAAACGGTTATATAAAAAAGGCGCAACCCTTGGAAATAACTATTAAACGGTTATTTCCTAAAAGACACAACCTTAAATAACCATAAAGCGGTTATATCGAAAATGCAACTCTTGTAAAATCGGTTATATGGTAAAAACGCAACCCTTGGCAAAAAAACATTTTTTCTTCCTCACTCATTTCATGGATTGGAATCATAGCTATTCGTCTAATTAATAGAATAATTCATGGATTTTTACACCATTTAAATTGATTTATTTTTAATTTAGAATTTTTAAATCATCCAATGCATATAAAAAATATAGTTGATAACCAAATTGCTTGTGGGTGCATCTATTTTGTAGTAATGTTAACGCGGCTTCAATGTACTCAACCCGTAAAAAAAAATTTAAAATATAAAGAATCAATGTTTCTATAGAGAATTGTTAGATTTTATTAGGAAATTAAATTTTTGATAGAACGATTATTTTTTAAAAATTATAACTTTTAGGAATCACCACCATTCAGTTATCATAAAAAGACGTGACTATTGACGTAGGAAGTAACCACCAAGTGGTTATTAAGAGAAGACGCAACTATTGACGGAACGGTTATATTAACATCTTAAAAACACGAAAATTTTAGGAAGTAACCATCAAACGGTTACACCAACGAGATAAAATATATATATAGGCGAAACGGTTTGTTTCGAAAGACGCAACCCTTACAAATAACTATACAGCGGTTATGTCGAAAAGACGCAATAAAACGGTTATATCGAAATCACGTAACTTTTGACAAAACAGTTATATCGAAAATGTGCAATTTTTGGAAATAACCACCAAACGATTTTTTTTTACGAAAAGACACAACTAGGGGTGTCAAACGAGTCATTAGCTCATGAGCTGACTCAGCTCAGCTCGGATTTTGACGAGCGCGACCTATGTTTTTTAAACTTATTTAATAAACGAGTTAAGTGATCGAGCTTAAACGAGTTGACGAGTTATGCGAGATAGCTCAGACGAGCTGCGAGCTAGCTCACAAACAAATTTTTTTTTTAATGATTGAAATTATTATATTGATATATTGTAAATATATCTTAGATTTACCAACCAAAACATATATTCTCGTTCCTTTATAAGTTATAACTAAAACTAATATAGAAATAATTCATTATACTTATTAGTAAAATAGAAATTAATTTTTGTTTTACATTTTAATTCTTTAGGATATATAGGAATAGAATATAGTAATATCGAGAAGAAAAAAAGAAATAATCCTTTATAGATTTAGCATTCGATAACAATACTATTTGGATTTC